GCTATACAGTGGCCAAAGCCTGCATTTTGTTCTAAAAATAAATGTAGGATAAATTACTGAATACAATTTAAGGGTCCAGTTAACGGACGTGGCTAAACTTTAATAAACTTTTGGAAACTAGCCAAAAACTTATTTAAACACTCATGTTAAACGTCACGATGTGGCTCCACTTGCACTGTAACTATGTTAATTATTAACTTCAGCCATACCATTGTTAAACCAATATATTGGGCCATTTTTATGCATATGAAAAACATGAAACTAAATTCCAGCCAGCACAAGGGCCACCAAACTTTTACACTGGATTCATCAATTGTTGTGTGACTTGTACTGTAACTAAGCCATCCTCGTTGCATTTTCTCCAGATCGTTGTTGAAATTTACTAGAAACTTGTAATTGTTCTCGATGTAAATGAAACATATTTATTGTAATAAAAATGTTGTATTGTTACCGTAAATCGTCACGTATTCACGGTGCAATTTGTAGTGTTGAGCATTGCACTGCTTACTCCTTCTTGTTTTGAAGATAATGTCGCGGGAGATGAGCGCGGAGCAATGGGGATTGCGTCGCTTGGCCTGAGCTCACCTATCACTCGATAGGCAAAAACGTGTCTTCAGCTTCTAGAGTGTTAAGAGACATCGCTCAGCTGATGGCAGAGGCTCTGATCGCCCGACAACTCACAAGAAACTTCCCTATGAATGTTACGTACGATATAAAGCTGCAATGGTCTCGTGCGATTCGAGTTCATCTCAGTTGCAGCGCAGACATGTGATAAAAGTCAGTCAGTGCAGTGTAAGGAGCGAGGCAGTTAGAAGGTCTCTCGGTGTTGAGTGCGTCAATGATGGAGAAGTCATTCAGTTCTCAAGTAAGTTACAAGAAACAAGAGGGAAGCAGGGGGAGTGCTGTAGATGAGCAGTGGAGCTTTCGTGAAATATCGAGTGGACAAATAACTAAACTCAAAAGTGTGAGTGGTTATGGCATAATGACTCAAAATATCGTTGAACGTTATGATAAATTTTCCGTGGTCTCTAATTTTTTATCTCAGTGCGAATTTGTCCGTTGTCGTTGATGATGCGTGTGTTCATATTCTTGTTATAGTGAATGTTGATTGGGGTGGTGATTCGTAAAGGGTTTAACTTGATATGCAAAAGATTCAGTTGCAGAAACTACTGGAAAATTTTCACTTCCTTCTATCCTACAGCTATTAACATGGGACTATGATAATGCAAGGGCCGCCCCATAGCTCAAGCGGTTAGTCGCTGGCTTTCCACCGCGGCGGCCCGGGTTCGATCCCGGATCTGGTCAAGTAGAATTTGTGGTGGACAAAGTGGCGCTGGGGCAGGTTTTCTCCGAGTACTTCGGTTTCCCCTGCCAATCTTCATTCCACCAATTGCTCCACAATCACCCTCACCTATCATGTGGGGCCGGTACAATAGGCCAGAAGCGGCCGCAGTACGAGGGACTTAGTCCCACCTCACTAGCAATAAAAAATGCTAATGCATGTGCAATGTGTTTCTTACGCTTTGAATCCTTGCAGTATTTCTTTTGTTAATCCATGGACAAGTTTATCAGTTCTATATGGGAAGACAGACATGCTTTTGAGCATTTAATATGGAGGATAACGGTTGAGTAATGAGTTGTAGTCAACAGTGTTACTATCAGCAAGAGTTAAGCCAAGAGTACTTTATGAAATACACATTTTTAAACCGAACTGACAAAAGAATTTCTAAATTTCAAGTAACAGTTTCTGTATGTGTCTTACAAACTTGGTGGCTCTGAATAATTCTTATCACTACATAAATATTTACTTCATTATCTTTAAGTACCGTAAGCTTACCACAGAGAAAGGTAGCTGTCATTTCATTGTTAGCTTAGCACTGACAGCTCATATCACCTTTCAGTACACTAAAAGTAATATTCTCACGCGAACTTAGCCATAACAAATTGTAATCGCTGCAAGAGATGTGTAAGCGTTGCAACATCTACTACTGTCACATAAAAGCCAAATTCTGTGATTTTTTGTTTGCAGACTGTGTGTAAACGGCTTCCCCAATTATCTAATTTTCATTTTGCAACAGTGTTCTAAAAAACATAGGCTCCAGTTACTTCTTCAATTCTGGCTTCCCACCGTGGCAGCTCGGTTTCGAGCCCGGGTCAGTAATGTGTTGCCATAAAAGGAAATAGCCCACACTCATCATTCAATCTTCAGTAATTTTCCTAGTATACAGATCTGTAGCTCATAGGCGGAAGGCAATGTCATGTGTTTCAGAAACACACAATGCAGTATATACAAGTATTTACGGTGGCAAGATATACCCACAGTAAGACCCAACAGTTCCTCTAGAAGAAATCCACAGTACTACATTACACTTGTCATGTCTCGCTAACTTATTTAATAATTGTATATTACGTTTCACTATGCTCCAAGCCGGAAGGTCCCAGGATCGAATCTCGATGAGGTCATTGAATTTTTTTAATTTACCTAATCCTTCCAGCCACACTATGTCCCTGGGGTCGACTCAGTCTCTAATACAAATGTGTACCAGGAATATTCTTGGGGGGTAATGGGTGGCCGGCGCGTAAGGCTGACCTCACCGCCATCTGTGAGCCGATTGTCTAGAAAATGTGGGAACCTCAACAACTCACAACCCTATGGGCCTCCAAGATCTGCTACAAGGATAAATTTACTTACTTTATATGACGTTTCAAATTTTATTTTGGCTCTAGGAGTTTATATCGGTTTAACATCTGGCTCTGCAGATTACCATATTTTTATAAAAGGGTTTTACCTAACGGCTGCAGACCCGCTGGGCGACGTCACTCGTCACTGGGTATATAAGATTTACTTAAGCGAGAACTGCAGACGACAGAGTTGGGAATTCCATATGGAATCGGGCCTAAACTTGACATGAGTAACGCATGAAAGACGCAAGTTGTGGGGCACAAAAATAAAATATAAATGGGAGAAGTGGTCGGATTTTAATTCGGGAGTTAATTCTTCGTATCATTTCCTCTTCTTCGCGTATCCCGAATTTGAGTATGCGAGAGTAACATAAGGGATCAAGCATAATTCTTTCCACCTCAGTGTTTCAGGAAGAATAAACAAACTGATGAATATGAAATTCTAGCCAACAAATGTTTTAAAAAGTATAATTTGCATAAGGAAAAGTTACCAGGAAAACAACCAGGCCTAAAAGTGTAAAACAACAAAAGTGATAATGCTCGTTTGTCTTTGGAAAGCAGTAACAAATTTTGCAATGGATATTCAGAATTTGCGTGTTCCATGTTCCGCCTTCATCAAGCTCTACAAGTCAGAAAAATATTAAGTTACCAGTTAACGGAAGAACTGCGCCACTTTGGGTAGAGCAAGCATACAGATGCTTATCGCATTCAAGATCACAGCTTTAAATGTACCTGAATACAGTTATGAAGTAAGCTTCGCACACTAACCGTTATAATACAGGAAATGTACGAAAATTAGCAAATAGTTACTTTCTCTATTACCGTTATCGTTCCACTTAAGCGACGCATGCGCTCTTGAGGGTAATTTTGAAAGATATGCTTCTTTAAGAATAAGACTGTAAGTGGAGATTATGTTCCCAAACAGTCATTAAACATAATATTTCTTGAAGAAAGCAGTCTTCTGGGATTTGGCACCGTGTATATGTGGTGTTAACCGACGTTTCGGAGGAACGTATCGCCTCCATCTTCAGGGTAGAAGTAAAAATATAAGAAATCCGCAAGCGAAGAGACCGTGAGAACCGGTAAAAGCAGACTGGAGGCGATACGTTCCTCCGAAACGTCGGTTAACACCACATATACACGGTGCCAAATCCCAGAAGACTGCTTTCTTCATAGTCACCGCCGTGAAAGCCTCAGATCTTACGTAACATTTCTTTATGGGATTATTATGTTCCCATCGTGGCTCAGAATGATTGAGAATGGGAAGAATTTTCATGTAGTCCAAGATTCTGTGTAGATAGAAGTGAGCTTCCAGATTAATCATCTCTTCACTGAGGTCTTTGCAGGAAATCGAGACATTATGAAGATCCCTTACTGTATTGTACATTTCCTTTCGAGCTTGAGAAGCTCGGTGAAGACTTTAATTACAACGGTTCTGGTAAATGTGACTCTTCCTCCTCTGCATTGGCTCCTGCGTGTATGAGTCTAGTTTTTCTTCAACCACCCCCTCACGTCGACGACAGCAGATACTGTGATGATGACATCACTGCTCAAGCAAAGTTCCTGGGAGACGTTCACGACCTGAGGCCATATCTTTCGGCGCATTTCATTCATACGTCTTCCTGTGACTCCTGTCCGTGCCTAGTTAATGACGTCGATTGTCATCTTGATGTTGAAATTTCGCCAGACCTTCTTGATGATGGGTTTTTTCTTCCCTGTCCGTCACTTTGACAACCCTTGCTAAGTTTCAGTGTGGTTAGGTTTTTAATGTGGCAATCTACAGGCTGGTTGCTCGACGTGGTTATCTGGAGGTGTGGAGTAAACTTTCTGGCACGCAGTTCAATAGAAGAATCTTGTCATAGCAAAGTCGAGAAACAATTGTACACAGATGTAACAGTTTGATTCTTTTCCACTCGCTTTTCCAGCCTACTCAGGACCCAGGCCTCTTATTCAGTTCCGTAATAATTTTTTCACTGACGGTAGGACTTCTTGGACGAGTGATCAGCCCGTCGCAAGGCCACTAGCCAAACACAGAATAACACAGAATAAACGCATACACACGCTAAACATCCAGACCCTGAGTGGGATTCGAACCCACGATCCCAGCGTCCGAGCGAGAGTAGACAGTTCATGCTTTAGACCGCGCGGCTACCGTCACCGGCTACAGTTTGATTTATAGCGTCCCCGAATTACCAACACATTCAGCAGCATAAAGAGCTGTGAAATAATTAATTATAAATATGTGTAATACATTTTTGTCCCAAAGAATGGTGGCTTCGGGAAATTCGGTAAACAAGGAATAAGAAAATTATACTTACCATTAACGTTATACATAGGAGGTCCAAACATGTACCCCGGATAGACATATGCAGGGGCCTGTGTGTATAATGCCGGTCCCGGTGGCTCTCCAGCCTGTGTCGCTTCCATATCGCACTCCTGCGGACTTCCCGGTGGCTCCGTAGATTCAGAGCTCTGCGGGCTGCAGTTCTGCAGGGGAAGGAAATCACAAACTGTGTGTAATTTGCCTGAGGACGTGTAACACAGACACCGAATAATAACTGTCGGACATCGACATTTTCTCTTCAATTAATCATTAATATCAATGGAAATCACACTTATAGTATGCAGGGCTGAGAGACGAAAAAGTCTGAGAACCTATGGTATTTGAATTTAACGCCAAAAATTAGAAAATAACAGTATAAATGCATTATACGTCTGGAACAGGGATATTCAGTAAGATACATTTTCATGGACAACAAGTGTAAATTCTATTTGGGCCTCACTATACGTCCCTTGCCGGTCACGGTAGCCGAGCGGTCTAAGGCATGTACTATCTTCGCTCGCTCGGAAGCAGGGATTGTGGGGTAGAATCCCACTCAGGGCATGGATGTTTGGTGTGTGTATGCGTTTTTCTGTGTTTGTGTTGTCCTGTATTTAGGTAGAGGCCTTGCGACGAGCTGATCACCCGCCCACGGAGTCCTACCGTCTGTAAAATGACCATGAAACTGAGAAATCAGCCCTACGCTCCAAAGTGGGAGCAAAAGGAGGAAAAGCAAGGCCCCCTGCTACGAGCATATACTGTACACTATACACACATGCTACTATTTATATGAAATATATGAAAGAACGTTGGCATATACCGAAATTCTCGAGTGCCATTTTGTGGTTCATGAACCTCAGGAAACAAATGTGGCGTACCTGGGAGTCCGTGGAGTACCGCTTCCTCCTATCCCGCGCAGTAGCGAGGCCGTTATGACAAGGCGCCGTGACGTACGGTAAGAAGGCGGGGTTAAACCACTCCAGGGGTTGCAATGGTAGAGGCTGGCATGGGACTGCTGCCAGGACAGGAGGTCCCCCTCCAGGGCCTCCATAGTGAGGAGCAGGACCCACCACAACCGTCACATTACCAGAATAGGGGTCATACAACTCGTAGCCACTGCCTGCGGAGTAATAGGTTTTATGGGTGTTACTTAGTAATTTGTCCCTCCATAGAAAATTTCTGCATACAGTGACCTCGTTATGCGTGTACTGCTCTGCTACATTCTAAAGGGTTGTGACGAGGGTGTATAACACTCAGAATTATTGGGTTTCCGGAGTTTCTTCATCGTCAGGTGTTCTAGAGGGGCACTCGGTAGCGTAGTTGGCTGAGGCACTATGCTACTAGCCGGAAGGTCGTGGGTTTATAAGTTTACTGGACAGTCACTTTTACACTTGCAAATACTTATAATTATTCACACTTCTAACCTTCCCAGTCGTTTCCTCTTCACTGTTACAATTACTTGCAGCGCTGATCTTGGTGAAGTGTCTTCTGATCTGCTCGGAGCTCAACTGCCCTTGGTCTTTTGTAGGTTACGAACTCTTCTCCTGCTAAAGTCTAATACAAATTCTACTGATCTCTTACGGAATATGAACTGTTATACCTTGCATTCGGACTGAACAGGGAACATTTTGTCGAATGGTTAATTTCGCCCACTGTTTTGTAAATGCTGCTTCAAAGAATTCGTTGCTTGGATATTGCTAGCTGTTGTGTAGCAATGGATGCGTTCTGGATCCTAGCCGTTGTAGCGGGAACGTTGGTGGTTGTCTAGGAAACCAACCCTGATCTCACTAAACCATTCTGGCTTTCTGGCGGCACGTCACAATATTTATTTTACAGAGCAGGGTCGTCAGCCTTGCGTCCAACCCCCAACCCGGAGGACCAGGTCTCTGTATTTATGTCCCATTGTAACAGGATGGACCACTTATATACCCCAGGCACCGGCTTCCCTTTCCGTCACCTTCTACGATTAGCAAGGCTAAGGGTGAGGTATTCTAACCCGCCTCCGCTTAGGAATTTGTTACGAATCATAAACTTAATATTTCAGCTAACAGAAGAAGAGATCAGACTGCGCGAAGCGTCGGGAAAATTTATATAACAGGCAATGCTTATGGTTTCAATACGGGAGATTGCTAGTTCGAATCTCGGCCGACATACCGACTGCCTCCACTGAGGTTTTTCGTTGTTTTCCTCAGTCCTTCCGGGAAAATTCTGGGACAGATCTTTAAATGAAGTCACGACAGCTTGCATATACACACACACACACACACATGCCACGTCACATTACTCTCTAATCACCTTACCACTCGATGCAATATGTTCCGAGCTACTGAGAGCGTAGTTAAATAAACTATTAATAACAAAAATAAATAATACGTGAAATTGAACCGTAGCAGAGCATGAAAGAGCGGTTTTATCGTTTGCTTCATGGAAAGTTCTAAAGTTATCTTCTTTAGAAAACAGACTGCAATAACCTGAATAATGAGCAGCTTAATCTATATGTAGGGGCACTTAACGCACCAAGCGCTAGTAAATTCAGTTTTATGAGTTATACTCGATGTGTACAAAAGGAAGAATACGGATTTTCCTCTTTAAACAAACATTAGAAAAACTGCATAAAATATTTCTTGGACGGTTCAGTTGTTTCGGTACATGTAAACGTTAATTTTTGCTTTGCGGTTGCTTTGTTACTCTCTCGCTTAGCATGTCCTTCTGCAGGGTCACGAACTAAGAGTGGTGCATTGTACCCCTACACACTGTAAATAGAAACTCAACTGCTTCCGGTTTCACTCACCATTTATATAATAGAGTCCTGGAGGAGGACCTCCTGTTTGGTCCACGTAGCCGTTCGTCGCATATATATATTGAGGATGCTCCTCCACTGGACTCATGACGTCACTGCTCGTGGTCTGGTCGTTCTCTATTGGTTCTGAAACAGAATCGGTGATCGTGGAATATTATTTCACTGTAGCACTCATTAGAGGTCACCCAAAAGAGAAAACGCACACTTACAGGATACAGAGACGCAGGGCATAAGTAAGATCATCTTCCCCAAGTCGATAACTCAGTATAATAATAATAATCCGCTTATCTGAAGGGAGCAAACTGAGTCGATTCGGAATCCTGGACGAGCGAAGTCGAGATGGTTTCTAAAGCATTATTATTATAGAACTAAAGACTTATTTAGACACCTCGAATAATATCAGAGCCATTAATATAAACATAATTTCTCCTTTAACATATTTCTTCTGAATGGTACAATGGCGAAACACATAAATAAAATAACTTTGATACCGTAGGCACTATCCTATCAGAGGCCAGTGAACGTGTTGCTCTGCCAGTGGTTCCTCTTAATCCGGTAGCCATATTTCAGTTTTCTGCACACTGGCAATATATACTTCTCATTGCCAGGAAAATTACCTCAAACCTACACTGTCATTCGTCGTTGCGGTGGTGGTGGTGGTGGTGGTGGTGGTGGTGGTGGTGGTGGTGGTGGTGGTGGTGGTGGTGGTGGTGGTGGTGGTGGTGGTGGTGGTGGTGGTGGTGGTGGTGGTGGTGGTGGTGGTGGTGGTGGTGGTGGTGGTGGTGGTGGTGGTTGGTCTAGTCACGGTGATGGTTCGGGTTGTTGCGGTAGTAGTGGTGGTGGTTCTTGCTGTTGTGGCTCTGGTGGTAGTTCTGGTTGCCGTGGTAGTGGTTATTGTCATGGTGGTCGTGGTGGTGGTGGTGGTGGTGGTTGTGGTCATGTTTGTCGTGGTGCTGGTTGTGGTGGTAGTGTTGGTTATGGTCGTGGCAGTTAGGGTGGCAGTACCTCGCATTAGTGGCAGTAATGGTTAATAGTATCGCACATTAGCTGCAGCGAATAGCGCTCCCATTTCGTGACCAGGAGATCACAGATCAGAATCCCAGAAAAGTTAGCGGATATCCTCGCAGGCTGGGTTCTCCCCTAGTCACACCACTCACACATTTGCATGGTGCATTAAAACTGGCAATGGTTGCTCTGTTATATGTCTTTCTTTACCGAGTTTGACAATCTTTCTTCCGTTTGGCATTATTTGGCTAATGAACAGGAGAAACATCCTCAGACACTAATAATCAACCAGCATCAACTTCAGAACCGCAGCTGCAGACGGGAAATAAGTCAAGGATTCTCATGACACATGTACACGTGTCTACGATGGGAGACTCTTAACTGGGTTACAGAGAGACTGGCAGACATGGCCCCTTAAGCAGGCGTTATATGCCGCGCTCTTTGTGGTATCCGGTTTCAAAATAGTACTGTCTGGATATTCGTGTGGAGAGAATAAGTAAAATAGCGAAAAACATCGGTTGGGACTTTCGATAGCTCGGAAGAAAATCAAGCAGAATATCTTCCGTATGTAGGTCTAAAATCAACCTGCTCGGAAGGACTTGTGCAGGAACCAATGTTGACAAAGTGACGGAAAAGAAATATGATATTTATTTTTGGTGGCGCTTTGCCCCAAATGATCTAATGAACTGGGAGATTAGTTCCTCGTTATCGCGTCTCTTTCTCGGGAGGTTCGGATTTAGAATGTTGTCTGGGACAGACGTCAAACGTTTGTTTCTCGTGGACGATTTTCCATTTGCCTTCGTCTTCCGTGTGTTAGGAAGCCTCCGGTCAACACAAACAATGGTGAGTTTGTAAGATTTGAGGCTTTCACGGCGGTGACTATGAAGAAAGCAGTCTTCTGGGATTTGGCGCCGTGTATATGTGGTGTTAACCGACGTTTCGGAGGAACGTATCGCCCCCATCTTCAGGGTTGAAGAAAAAGTATAGTTAAATCTGCAAGCGACAACACCTGCTTTACCGTGTCTCACGGTGTTGTCGCTTGCAGATTTAACTATACTTTTTCTTCAACCCTGAAGATGGGGGCGATACGTTCCTCCGAAACGTCGGTTAACACCACATATACACGGCGCCAAATCCCAGAAGACTGCTTTCTTCAATGGTGAGTTTCTTGCCTTTATACAGAAACGACTCGTTTGTTCATGTAATTCTGTAATGAATGCATTTCCTTCTAAGTGTATCTTCAGGCAATGCATCAGGGCCCCCTCGTTTTTAAGTGTTTATAGAGCAAAGGTTGTAAGCAAGTTGTCTCTGTGCTTAATTAAGCACCACGTCATGAAGGCATATTGCAGAATGGACACACAGCTCCACCATTCTTGACCCCGGCACTAGCTGGAGGTGAGTAGTCAGCTTGACGCCCCCGGACGCTTTACGACCGGCGAAAGAGCCCCCCGTACCCAGTGGATAGGAGGGTGGGTGAACTCCAGAGCCTGCCTGGACGTTGCTAGTGAAAAGGAAAAAAAATCGTCCCCTGTCAAGAATCGAACCCCGGCCGTTCAATCCGTTGAAGTCTGAATTTAATTATGAAGTAAAACATTCAGTTTCACCCAAGCATGTAACTATTACTTTCACTGAGACTTTTGTTAAACCTCCGCGTAGAGTAGGATATTTCATTTGTCAAATTAACTGCCTATAGCATTAAAAAGGGAAGGAAACTGAATGCAAGAGAAGCAGACAAATGGAAGAAGTGAGAACAGGTAGAAAGGAAGGAAGGAAGGAAGGGAAAAAGTAATAAAGAGATGGATGGAAGAAAGCAAGGGGGAAGAGCATAGAGAACGAAACAAAGGAGAGAAGAAAACAAATATTTCCATCTTAATCGATGTTCTTTCCCTGAGCATTCTAAGAGCGTCGTGAAGTAACAGACTATCTGCTCTATCACGGAACCTTATCAGCATAGCAAGTGTGCGAAATCTTCAGCTGTAAACTTCCGTTTCCCAAATAAGGCGTCTTGCCAAATGTAGCTGAACCACAAGGAACGTGAAAGAAGAGGAAAATTATAAGAACTGGGCTTTGCCTTCCAAAGTTGTGTTAGATTTAGAAAATAAGCCCGCTGTTTACATAAAATTAGAATGAAATGACTAAACAGCCGATAGGTACGTATGTACTACACAATGCCATACTGTGTGTGTGCTATATGCCCGAAATTTCTTACACCTGTCGGTTTCGGGTTTTATTTGGAAAAGACAGCAGTTGTACTCTACTCGTACTGTCATGAGGACAGAACATCAGCCCTAGATTGTTCATCTTGATCTGAGAATTATAATTGTAATGGATTCTGTTATATGCATTTAACTCGAATATGACAATGAGAAATTAGTAATTCGGGATATAAAAAAGCAACTTTTAGATACATTAAATCAGTTCAAGCCGCAAGTGGCATAGAAATCAGAGACGTATGTCAGTGCTGTAATGTGGCGCCTGTAGTGCTTCATTCTGCTTGAACTAGTCTATACCTATTAGGTAGATTTGCCATTTTGTAAGAATAACGTATATTCACAAGCGTTCGAGAACAAAGTTGTCAAGAAGTCACCTGGAACTAGCAAGGTATTTGTGATACAAGACGGTATAACGAGCAACTTCGTCATATAAACAGGCCACCCCAATTACAGTACTAATGTCAGGATGCTGAGGAACATGACAGCTAGACGTGTAGGGGGAAAAGAACTCGTACAGAAATTTAATGGGGGTCATTTTGGAAGAGAGTGGCTTGAAAATTGAAAAGGGGGTGACAGATTAACATTATGCTTTTCTTCTGTGAGAGTGGGAGATAAACGCTTCTGCCTCAGGATCATGTGGCCTTCAATCGATCTCCGGGTTCTGTTAGTTAGTTTACTGCTGCCACAACCACTGGAGCACCTACTGCAATCCCTGCCCCTACTCTGCTTCCATTATTTGCTGAAGTACACGTTCTTCGTCAAGGTTTTCCTTAAAATACACTCTATGGAAATAAGTCGTTGCTTATTTATTGTATCACATACTTCTAATGAAATCTTACTTCATGTCTTCGTACGTGTGTGTATGATAAGATTGTAGTATTCCGGAATGTGACTCCATGTGGTCTTGTCGGTGGGTACAGACGTTTCGGAGAAACATATTTCATCCTTCTTCGAGGTCAAGTAAGTTTAGGAATAGTCTTTGTTATATGGGCAACTCGAAATTGAGCTGCATGCAATTTTGGCCTGCTCCCTCGGTCGAACCGCGTTGTCTTGGAACCGAGCCATGTCTTGGCTCCTGACGTTATTGCAAATTACAAGGAAGCTGTCATGAGACACAAGAAGGTGGGGTCACGAAACGAGCCCTGTCCAAACCAATGGGAAAATACGAACAAAAACGTCCCTTATGCTGGCCACATTGGTTTATCGTCAGACACATGTAACTGTGTTACAATAAATTTCTAGCTGTAATTTAACAAACTGCAAAGGCCATGTAAAGATTAAGAGTGCTCTTTAACATTCCAATTGGCAGAATCAAACAGTGAATTGAGTTAATGCGCTAAATGTTGGATTATAAATTTAAATTAGATAACATGTATTATGACGAAAATATACTACAAACTTAAAATTAAAAAGAAAATGTAAGATTTGAGATTTTCACGGCGGTGACTATGAAAAATTCCGTCTTCTGGAATGTGGCGTCGTGTAGATATTGTGTTACGGACGTTTCGGAGGAACATATCGCCTCCATTTTCAGGGTATATGAAATCCGCGAGCGATGACTACAAGCAGTGTAATTACGTAAAGCACGAAAGCCATCTGTGTGAAATATAGGCCTATTGAACAAAAGAACGAATTTTGCGCCCGTATTATGTAAAAAATAATTATCATAAATCCTAAAATGTCGTACACCTGTCGGATATGAGTAAAGACAGCTGATGTTTTAATAATTTCCTTCTGTGCCAATACACTGTTTGTAAATGAGACTCATGATTAGATTCTGACAGATTTGTGTAAGTAAAGTAAAGTAAGGTAAAGTTATCCCTGTAACAGGCCGTGGAGGCCAATAGGGTTGTGAGATGTTGAGGTTCCCACATTCAATAGACAATAGTCTCATAGATGGCGGAGGAACTATGCTATAAGCCGGAAGGTCGCGGGACCGAATCCCGATGAGGTGGATTTTTTCAATTTTCCTAATCCTTCCAGCGCACTATGGCCCTGGGGTAGATTCAGCCTCGAACACAAAAGAGTACCAGAAATATTCTTCAAATATTCTTGGGGGTTAAGGGCAGCGGGCGCGTAAGGCGCGTCTGAGAGATTTGTGTAAACAGCAAAACGAGAAATCTTGCAAACATTTGTCGAGTTATTGAAACCCTTTAGCCTCCATTAGACGTGACCTTTAGCGACTAAGTAATACTGCATATGAAGCACCAATAAGCTGGGAGCAGACACTATGTCCTGGCACATTATAACAAGCTATATGATAGCCCTCACCCCCCTCACGTACACGATATGCCATCTTTCACTTGACAGGATGACTTTTTAAGTTCCGTGAACTGAGAATGAATGTCTTACCCATTATGACTCAACAGACTTCAACGGAAAATCGAAGAATGCTTCTTTTGACTGAGTGCTGTTAGCATAGAATGCAGTGTTAAAGAGGCTTTCGAAATCCTGGACAGTTTCGGAGCATCAGATATGCAGGTACTGCGGACCGGTAAATAACCAGCTAACCAACCAAGAAAAGACGTAACAAAATGGTGGAGAAACTCGCATAATGAACCTCAATATTTGCGTACTTCATGGAACAGAGTCAAGGCGATTAAATCGAAGAATATGGGATAAGAGGGCACAGAGAATATAATAACTTCACATACTCATTTAGTCCGAAAAACTCACGAGAAATATCTATTTTGGAGTTACAGAATTACGTTGCAGGTTCTGGTAGATTAACTGATCTTAAGGAAACGTATCCTGAAGTTATGGACTGAATTCAACTGTGTGGGACCCGAATTCTGATGGCGGAAGGTGAGGTCTACTGCCGAAATTTCGCGAACACAGCTATATATCTTTGGATTCCACAAAATCAAGAAATTCACTGGTCTTCTAAGTAACCATAGCTCAAGCGGTTAGTCGCTGGCTTCCTACCGCGGCGGCCGGGGCTCGATCCCGGGTCTGTCAAGTGGGATTTGTGGTGGACAAAGTGGCGCTGGGGCAGGTTTTCTCCAAGTACTTCGGTTTCCCCTGCCAGTCTTCATTCCACGAGTTGCTCCACAATCACCCTCACTTATCATCTGGGACTGGTACAATAGGCCAGAAGTGGCCGCAGTACAAGGGACTTAGTCCCACCCCACTAGCAATAAAAAAACCCAATGACTTTCTAGAAATACAGTATGCCGTGAGGGTCGTACAGAATAAGCTTTCACTTCCAGGAAGATTATAAAAGAGATTCAGATACTTTGCTTTAATTTAATACTGTTCATTATGACACCGCTATAAATAATATGTTACAGGCTCATAAAAGAATGATTATGTTAAACATGGTAAGTTTACTGAAATGTACTAAAACGATCTTCATTTATCCTCTGCAAACATTCAAGGCACAGCGTGGAGCCTTCGTACAACGTTGCTTTGCTGTTTTCTCCAGGACAGACCGCGCCTGAATTGCTGACAGATACGTTTGGATTTAGGAGTACGACATGCGTCGACAATTTCTACCCTACCTCCGTCTTGTTCATAGGTCCCATTGACGTTGAAGTTTCCATTAGCAACATCAGCTGCCGTAATTTCGGGATTCGTGTTGCTGTTATTCACATTGGCAGTGGTGTCGACTGTGGGCGCTGCAGTCGGTCGCTTGCGGCCTAAGTATCCTTTCTTGAACAGCACGTCCTGGCGAGGCGTTGTTATCTTCGTGTACTCCTCTGAAACGTCAACAAGAAGAGAAAAATTAGGAAGCGTTATCTTCATTGACACCTCTGAAACACAAAACGAAACAAGACTAAGAGAGGAGTAACTATCTTCTGCGATTTTACGCCGTGTAGTCCTTGAAAGAGCCGGTCACAGTCGTCGCGCGGTCTGTGGCATGAACCGTCTTCTCCCGCCCGAGCACTGCGGTCGTGGGTTCGAACTCCACTCGAGACATGGATGTCTCTGTGTAGGTAGCGGCCTTGCGACGGGCTGATCCCCCGTCAATAGGATTAAGAAACTGAAAAAGCAGTCAAGGTCCGAAGGGCTGTACAGCCATAGAGAGAGAGAGAGAGAGAGAGAGTCCGTTGGAATTCAACCGACATTTCAGAGGAAACCATCAGGTTGCTTTTTTCACCTGAGTTCACGATGGTTCCATGCTTGGCTTATTCTTCAACCCTGAAGTTGGAAGGGATACGTTCCTCCGAAACGTCGGTTGATTTTCAGTGGGCTACAAGGCATTATATACCACCGCTGTGAGAACCTCAAATCCTGCAAGATTAGGAGGGGTCTATGAGATCTGCAGGTTCCCACAGCGGTTGGTTACTCGGATTACGGTTGGCATAAACACGACGCCCTGTGATTTGGTAGGCAGGTTCCGACCTTTCAGACAAACCGAATTCTCTCACGATATCAGCTCCATAAAGACGGTCTGGTTCCTCTCAGCCACGGTCACTGACGCCCACTCCGGAATATTTACATATTCAATATCCATAATCGTCTTCTCATATCACTCAGCGTTATACGAATAAAAATTGAATCAATGCGCACAGTCCACAGTAGAAATGTCGGAAGAGTTCATATGCCACGAACGTCTGAGCTGTTTTCCAGTTTCATCATTGCTAAGATGTAACATAGAAGCTACTCCGATGGAGGTAACTCGATGTTTTCCAGACCCCATCTAAGAGAATGCTTGGAGGGTATAACTGGGCTGAAGTCATATCAACATTCCCGACATTGTTTCATTTGTCGCAATTGGGCTGAACTACAATTTGTGCCACATGACGAAACTGACATGCCCCTATATCTTCCACGCACATAAATAACACGGTTCTCTACTTTTACCTTCAAACAGAACAGGGTCACTTCTCCCTTCTCACTTACCCATGCATCACATATAGTCGACCTCTTACAGTTGATATAATGTCGTTACATACCTTTAAATGAATTATCAAACGCGTCGAAGTTAATATTCTGTATATTGTATAATAAAATTATAACCAAGCATATGTAGAAGGGGCCTATTTCATGAAGTATAGCATATGCTTTTCGTTATCTTGAACTCAGGCCTACGTTTTTCTTTTTCTAGTCCAATTCAAATATCAGTCCGAAAGCCTATTCTTGTTCGCTATGAATTTCACCTTCTGCATGGCCTTCCAGGATCTCCTATTCCTTTGGGTCTATACTGAAGGATCTTCGTCGTCGTTCGTCAGTGTTCCATCCTATCAGGCGAACACTTAAATGAAAAACTTCATACGAAACACAAATGAAACTACACAAAGTGATGGCCGTCCCTACGCTGCTGAATGGAAATTAAAGTTGGACAACGAGAAAATGACAAACAGCAGAAATGAAAGTCTTAAGATCTGTAAGTGCTGCACAAGACAGAATAAAATTTGAACGAAGATGTAAGAATTTGTTAGGAGCATTCTCAATGAATAACAGACTAGGAAGTTGCAGACAAGACTGGACTGAATATATTGTGGCGCACAGAGAGATTATTAAGCGGTGGCTCTGTAAACAGCTACCGTTGCTATGCAACGGCTCGGTAATCAGCTTCCTGTTGCTAGGTAGCAGATTCTTAACAATGCTAGACTACAACAATGGGAAATGGAGTGTTTCTACGTGTTCCGTGCCGAGAAGCTATAAGCAACGGAAACCGTCGGTTCAGTTCGGATCTCGTGTGGGAGCGGGTCGAATACCTCCACCGTAGCCCCGTGAGTCGTAGGAGCCGACGAAAGGGGAAGTCTCGAATCTGAGACAGTAAAATATGGTCGCGAGTCCCACGGGACTCGGACCCGAGAATGGCTGCGCTGGCGAAGGTCAGTAGCAATTGTAAACGATAGACTCATCCTCTCGTTAGAGACAGCGCCCCACATCAACATTTCTGTCTGACAGTAATAAGAATCTGGTCATAAGCCCCAGATGGGTGCTTTATGCCAAGACAGACTGGCCGACTGACCGTCGGTCGTAACATAACACTCAGACTCAGGCTCAGTTCAGTTCGGATCAGTTCTGCACGGGAGGCTGTGAAGAGAGGTCCTGAGCGCGTGAAGCTAAAGAATCTCCACTGTTAGAAGCCGTTACGAGGGAACGGCTTGTGAAGACAAAGCAGGTTGGAAAAGGCTTAGCGTGTGCTGCGGTAATTTGAGAATTCTGGAGGTTGGCGGTGGCGTTGTAATTGCTTGTATTTCCGATTCGTGTGTATAAGTGTTTAATAAATCCACTCAGAAATCAAAACCCCGTCGAGAGTCACGCCTACTACATGACAATATGAAGAGGCCTACATTTATGAGCCCAGCAAGTGTTCGAGATTTATCAACCTGTCATGTACTCTGATAGTCTTCGCTGCGAAAGCCGCCCTAGTTGTCTGCACGTTCCTCATTAGGTCGCCTCTGGGTTCTAATTTAACCTAACCACTTATTTTATCTACCTCTTAGCATATACGTGCTGTGCAAGTGGCCTTGTTGCTGTAGACACGTCCGTTCCACTGTTGACTAAGGGCTTCTTCGCTAAATAAAAAGCTCCAGCCTTTCTCTGCTCAGAAACCATGATAAAACACTGATATCTGTAGACTCAAAGAGTGCCGATCACAATGGCCGCGCAGTCTAAGGCATGAACTTTCTTCTCCCCCTTCGAAAACTGGGATCGTGGGTTTGAATTCCACTCGAGGCATGGCCACTCTGTGGCATTTATTTTGTCTTTGTGTTGATCTGTGTGTAGGCAGCGGCCTTGCGACGGGCTGATCCCCCATCCAAGGAGTCCTAGAAACAATGTATAGGAAACTGAAAAACAAGCCTAGCTCCACAAGGGCTTCATAGCTATAGATAAATAGATAGACAGATATACAGATAGATAGATAGGCAGACAGACAGAGAGACAGAGAGACAGATAGATAGATAGATAGATAGATAGATAGATAGATAGATAGATAGATAGACTCAAGAGTACGCCACTATCTGTCTATTTTAAAATACATTTCAAATTAAAGATAAAAGGTAAAGGTAAGGCTAAGTTGTTCCTGTGCTTAACTAATTAAGCACTACGCCATGAAGATGTAGGGGGAAGTGGATGTATAGAGCCACATACTCTTGACCTCGACACTAGTTGAGTGGTCAGCTTTACACCCCGGCCGCTTTACCCCCGGGAAAGAGCCCCCGGTTGGGTGGACCCCAGAGCCGGTCTCGGCGACATGGAGAAGAGAAAATTTTTTATCCTAAAGGGACTCGAACTCCGACCCCTCGGTCGTCCAGCCCGTAGCCAGTCGCTATACCGACTGCGTTATCCCGGCTCCTCACGTCCAGCCCGTAGCCAGTCGCTATACCGGCTGAGCTATCCCGGCTCCTAGACAAAATGTAAATGATATGAATATCATAAATTTCTAATAGCCCCCGCGATTTTCATGGCACATTCAGGTACAATTGCACAACATTTAGTAGGCCTGTTTGTGTACTACATTATTGGGGATTATCAGTGTGGATTTCGTCATAACAGATTAATTACTAATTATATTTCCCACATTCCTCAGATAACAGGTTGAAGGGGGTGTAATAGGAGAGAACATCAGCTGTTCACAGAATTTGAAGAAGTCGATGATTAGGTCAGGCGGAT